CGGAGGAATACTATCCGATCGGTATATACCGGCTTAAGCGTAGATTTTGACATCTCCCACACTCCGAAAAGTTTTGAATTGTTGTCCGAAGACAAGGAAAGTCCAATCGGTATTCGTTATTTTACGTTGCTTCTTCTTGTGTTTGTTCTGTGGGGTGTTCGTTATCCGATCATGTGTTCGTTGTCCGAACATAAAAATCTTTCGCAAAAATGTTCGTTATCCGATTTGTTCGTTGTCCGATCTGTTCGTTAACCGATCACCCACTGTATTTGAAACACTCTCAAAATGAACTGTTTATTGCCCATGTTTCGAAAACATGGGCAATAAACATTAAATTGCAACATAGTCTAAATGTCTTTAGAAATACAAACTGAAACCCGTACAGTCATAAACTATCTTAAAAGTAGCTAATTAATAAACATTAAGTTGCAAAATAGTGTAAATTCCTTCATTGGTACAAAATGAAACACATACAGGCATAACCTGTCCTAAAATGAGGTGATTACTAAACATTACATTGCAAAATAGTCTACATATCTGTAGAGGTAAAAAATGGAAACACACAGGCATCAACTGATTGCTACATAATACATTTGATCCTATACTGGGGTCTAATCGCAATTGCATACGATCAAGGTAGAAATTTGTGTTTCAGGCTCTTGTGTTTGTGACCTATTTTAGGACAATCCTATTTAATGCTCCAGCAGTAGTTTGCCATCTTATGTTTGTCCCCATCTCACTTGGTAGTGCTCTTCCATGATTTTCAGGTCCTGGTGGAACCATTTGCCTTGCTCATCACTGTGTCCTAAGTTCTCAGGGAATCTATCAAGATGACTGTAATAAATGCAGTTTGACATTCATATTACATCCCAGATCATGAAATGCTGACAACATATTAGCAACAAGAGTTTATAGTTAGCAACTTTTTCTCGGATCTATGACACCTATGCAACTCTTTCTTTGTTGTTCATTTTTGAGACAAATTGTTGGTTGCAAACAAGTGTACAAATCTGGGGCCTATCAAGCACACCTGCTTTGATCTTCTCAAGGGACAAAGCAGGGAGAGAACAGACTATTTGTTGGAAGCATTCACCATCTCTATTTAATGCCTTCATGAACTGTTTAAATAACCTCGGTTTGATATGCAGTGGAGGAAAAATGACTTCTCTCCTCCACTGACAATTTGATCATTGACAATATTTGGCATACCTGCTTGCAGAGTCTCATGTATGGGCTACTCCTTCTGGATCCAGTGCTTGTCTCAAGCTCTGCTGGAAGATGGTGCCTAATGCTTACCTCTAGTACCAAATTTGTTTGTAATAATTATTTGTTTATAGCCATATTATAGCCCAAATATTTAGGCTATCATTGGATTATTATAAAGCAGGGGTACTTTGTGTAACCTGTTTGTTGCCCGAGCAGACAATTAACCATTTTCAAATCAACTCAAATTATTCACTTGTGCTCATGGTACTTTAATAGGTCCATAACAGTTTTAATGTCAGTATGCTCCTCTCTTAAATGCACAGAATGTCCAACTGGAACAGGTGCATAGGCATTGCCATTATGTAGCAGAACACACTTCATACTGTGCCTAGAACTGTCTACACATAAATGCCAATCATTTGCACCGGAGTAATTCCTGTAGCAGACTGGAGACACTATGACAGTAAACAAACTTTTTTCCTCAGTAAAGTATGAAAGAAAAGCCTCTTTCCATTTTCAGAAGTATAAACTTTTGGAGTGGGGATCAGTACACCCTTTTCTTGCAATCTATAAGTTAACACTTCAGCTGCATGTTTGGATAGACTCAAATCACACACAAGGTCATTCAATTCATGCTGGTTAAACATCTGAGTGGTTAAGGATTCTTCAGTACTATATACATCCGGTGATCCTTCAGTCTCATCACTTGTCTCCTATTCTGTATACTCATCTTCAGATGCAGTAAACCCTTTGTAAACTGAAACTGGTTGCTCATCAGAATGCATAATGGGTTGAATTGCTGAGGGGATACTGGGATATATGAGTTTGTGTCTGTTTTTCTTGCCAACACCCTTTGTATTGACAAGACAAAAATAACAATCACTTGTATGATCCTTTGGTTCTCGCAGGGTCATGGGAATTTCAAAAGGTAATCCCTTATGTCCCTTTCATCCAATCACACAGCATTTCCTTGCAGTTGTGACACCCTATCTGGGACTCATTTCTTGTCTTAGTCCCCAATAATAAGTCTGAAGTATGCTTTATAAGCATGCCTCACAAAGGAAGTTATATTACGCCTTTGTCAAATAAGGGTGAACTATCCAGAAATGTAGCAGAAACTGTCTGGATTGTTTCTACATGGTTGTCTCCTAGTAGTTATGATCAGATCTGAAAAAGAAAGAATCTGAAAGATCTTTGCATGATTTTTTTATCAAGATCATTTTATCATAATATCATGCTGATAACAAAAACATAGTGCTGGAATGCAAAAGTTTGAATTGCAAGAAAACTAGAGCATGGAGGAAAAAACCATTTGCAGATTTGAAATCAGCATGCCCAAATTATTAAGGATCAGTGAAAAAAATCTCATGCAACTGAGATTTCAAAAAAATTTGTTGGCCAGTGTTATTTTTAGTTTTAAGGTTTAATTTATTTAGTATTAATATAATTTTATAATTATTTTTAAATAATATTTAAATAAAAATTATTATTTACAGGATTTCTACACACCTGGGAAGTCAGGTGTGTTCATTAGTGTGTGGAAAAAGTCATGGAAAGTTAGGGAATTTGTTAAAGATTGTCAAAAAGTCAGGACATTTGTTTCCTTGGTTGTCTTGTTGACTTTGTTTGCTGACAGTAGGGCTGACCAAGTATAGCTGTCTGCAGGCAGCAAGAAATATTGTGGTGCAATGCAACCTATGAAAAGGGGGTGCAAGTTTGAGAGAAAAATCTAATACTCTTAATAATCTAACTTGATAGTGTCAAAATATTTAAAAAATTTTTTTATCACTCACAATTTACACTTTCAATTTGAGGGCATGTAAACTGATAAAAAATAAATGATATTAAAGAACCAAAAATGGTAAATACAGGTAACCCCCGTATAACACGACACTTCTATAGCATGGATTCACTCTAACACGGTTCGAGAATTGGTACCATCCCCCTTATAGCATGGATTCACTCTGACACAGTTCGAGAAATGGTTAAAACCCTCGTACAACATGAAATGTAATAAATTATTATTTTCGTGAACTATTAGTACTTCAGTGTGTAAATTTTATTTTCTCGTCTCCATACACATGGTCCTTCGCGAAAATTGTTTCAATTTTGCCAGATGTCGACGCTTCTGCTTCTGGTGTTGCCAGATGTTTTTCCCTTATTCCATAAGTGCTTAGCACCATATAAGGAAATTTATAAAGATCTTTTAACTAGAAGCAAGCAATCTAAAATTACATACACTTTTTGCAAAAGGTAAAGCATGAATCTGAAAATAATGCAGAAAAATGCTCAGAGGATAACGATAACTTGCCAAAAATAAAATGCTCTCGCTTAATAGTGCTTTTAGTGATGACAAAGAAAACATTGTTTAATTTATATTAATATGTAATAATTTATATTAATATTAAGAAAATTTTAATAAAGATATTTATCTTAATTATGAAAATATAGTAGCATGTTTTTTAATTTTTGGAACCTAACCCTCCTTTTCGTACTAGTTCTTTGTTTCACATAACACGACAATTTTTTGGAATGTAACTACCGTGTTATACGGGGGTTACCTGTAATATCATTTGAATTAATAAGTTATTTATCATTTTTATTTTAATAATTTTGATTGCATAACAAAACAATTTTTGGTTTCTTAAACTTTTTTCATAGTTTATTAATACTGTATTTTATAAAGTTTGGAAAAATTATTAAGGGACAAATTTACTAAATTTATACTTTTTTTATGCCATTAATTTTTTTTAATAAAAATTAATGGCATTTTTTTTTCATAGCCATGAAGTCTTAGTTATGAGTTAATAACAGGATAAATTATTTTTATTTAATAAAACATTTTGTTTTATGTAGCTAAGACATGCCATAATTCTGTCTTTTTTATTTTATTTTTAATTTTACTAATTCTTTGTTAATGTGCCATACGTAAGGGACGTGAGGGTCAGGGAATTTGTACAAAGTTGGTCAGGGAAAGTCGTGGAATTTAAAACAAAAATTTGAGTAGGAACCCTGTATTTAATTTTGTCTGCAGTTTTGAACCCTTAATTACAATTTTTTAAGTTAATTGCAACTCTTTTCTTTTGTGACATGACTATAGAAAATTGTTTGTGTTGTTTTGCCCAAAAGATAAATTAAAATAAATTTAAGTTTGATTTTCTTTTATGAATTTGTCTGCTTCTTAAAAGTTTTTTTAATTTTAATTTTAAGCAAATTAGCATTAATTGAACTATTGGGCTATCTAGTATATTTAACCTCATAATGTGCTAATTAATTAATTCTGGCATTTACTTGAGTTTTAATTTATGATCTTTATTCCAGTTTTTAAGCAAGTAACCACAGAACAAATATTTTGAAAAAAGTCTATAAAATATGAATGTAATATAGTAAAAATTATTTATAAGAAAGAAATTTAAAGTATTCATTTTGAAAATTATTGAATTTAATTTTATTCACTTTTTACAAAATAGTTAAGATGAAATTTTATGTATTAAAATTTAAAATGTTTTATTTAAATTACACAGAACTTAAAAGGTTAATTTTGTTATTTTCTCAATTTGTGTACTGTGTAAGTCTCTTTCTTGTGTTTGTTATTAATTTATAAAATATCCTTTCTTTCAGGGAAGAAACTATAAATAGAGGGTAAGAATTTCTTTGTAACAGTGGCATTTCTATTTCTTCTTTTAATTTGCATGTCTCTTCAAGCAGTTTCTATGCTTAGATGTGTTTGGTGCATTTCTCTTTATGATTTTATTTTTATGATTATTGAACTGATTATATTATTTAATATTTAGTTCTCAGCAAACTACAGATGGTACTGGTATGAAAAGGAAATTAGGAAATCAGGTATTTTTTTTTTCTTTTGGTATTTGAAATTTAGAATATATTATTTGTTAAAATTACTTTAAATAAATGTTTTAACATTGAAATTGGAAATAAAAATTTAATATTGTTCATATTGTTCAATTTCTCATATTCTCTTGATCACTTTGGCAAACTTAGATTAGTAAGTTTCCCTTTTGATGATTTAACATATGAAAATATTTTAATAAAGTATTGTGATATAAACTTTACATAAGTAGAAATAAAGGAACAAATAGCTAAAATAAGAATGAAATTTGATAAGATAACTTGTAGAAGACTGTGCTTGTTTATGATAAGAAATTGTAAATTTTGAAGATCTGTCTCAATTTTTTGAACAAATAATGGATATAAAGACAAAATAAATGTAAATGTTTTTAATAGGAAAATAATTATGATAACTGGATTTTGACAAATATTTTTTAAAAAATATATTTATTAATATAAATAAGATTTTTTCATAGAATAAAAAAGATAGCTTTAGATTGCAATTTATAAAAAAAAATTGAATGCATGATGAAATATATTAATAAAATTGTTGTTTTTAAGGTTATCAGAAAAGGTTGGATGTGTATTCATAATATAGGAATAATGAAAGGATCTAGAGATTACTGGTTCATATTAACATCAGAATCTCTTTCTTGGTTTAAAGATGAAGAAGTAAGTACTTTTACCAATTTCATTAAATACCTTGGCTCTAATGTAATGATTAATATACCAAGCAGTTTTCTAAATATGATATCATAGCTGTGTATAATTTTCATTAGATCCTAATAAAAAGAATAGATAATTGTACAGTTTATGAAAAATAAGCTATATGTTAAAATTTATATAATAAATTCTACAATCAACAATCATAATAAAATTATATAGTCATCCAACATTAATTAAATAAAATTATCTATTTTATACATTATACAGTATATACAAATACATACTGTGTGTGTGTGTACACATAACAATACTTTTCTGTATAATTGTACAAAAAATTTATTCTAATAAATTCAATTTGCACATGCAAATTTATAGCATTTTTTAATACAGCAAACTATAAATAAATCTTCTGAGATTGCATTAATAAAATAAGGACAAGTGACGTAAATTCAAATTCATAGCAGTTAAATCACATTCATGTATGTTATTTCAATTAGTATTTGTGTTTAATTTGAGGTTTCCCTTAAGTACAAAAAGTTAACTGATTAACTAATGTTAAAGAACCATTACATTATAACTTGATTTCCTGAAGAAGTAAATTTTGTTGTAATTTGTTTGCAATATTTCAAAATAATAATAAGAACTAAAAATTGAAATGACAAAAATGAATTTTGAAATAAATGTGTGCTTAAATATCAACATGGTTTACATACACATTTTTAAATGTAATTGTAAAGATTCTTATATAAGTGATGTTTTAAATAAATTTTTAAAATACTAACTGAATAATTAATATAAAATATTTTATTTTTATGTAACTGTAGGAAAAAGATAAAAAATATATGATCCCTCTTGATGGATTAAAATTAAGAGATATTGATCCTGGATTTATGTCTAGACGACACACTTTTGCTATTTTTAACCCCGATCAAAGGTTTGTTGTAGTAAATATGATTTTGATGTAATAATATGGAAATGGAAGATTAGACAAGTATATTTTATATTTATGATGATTTATTACTTCTACATGAATATTGGATTTCTCTTACAGGAATGTGTATAAAGATTCAAGACAATTGGAATTGTCTTGTGAAAGTCTTGAAGAAGTAGACAGCTGGAAAGCTTCATTTCTTAGAGCTGGTGTTTATCCTGAAAAAGCATCTGAAGTTAATGGAGAAGAAAATGATAATATTTCTTCAATGGATCCTCAATTAGAACGACAAGTTGAAACTATTAGAAATTTAGTTGAATCATATATGAAAATTGTTACAAAGACATTTAAAGATTTAATACCAAAGATCATAATGCATTTAACAATAAATAATGTAAGTAAAAAATAGTACGTACTTGATTGCTTGTTGTTCTCTCAATTAGTTTTATGTTGTTTGGAACATAGCATAAAGTTGCTATTGAGAATAAATCATACAGAAATATGCCTTTTGATGGAAAAAGTAGATAAATAGAAAATGAATATACTTTTTTCACCAAAAGGAGTGTTCCTGTATGATTTGTTCTCAATAGCAACTTAATGCTAAGTTCCAAAGGACATATAAGTAATAATTTTTAAATTTTCACTGGATGATAAAATTTTTCTTTAAAAAATAGACGTAGTTGTTTCCATTATTAAATTTTTTACTTTTAAATTTTTGCTGGATGATAAAATGGATGATTTGATAAAGTAAAAAATTTAATAATAATTCGCCACCAGAGGGAGGAAAGAGGATAATCTACATTAAACAGCGCAAATTTCCAGTAGATATAAAGAAACTCCTGAATGGAGAAGGATAAAAAAAAAGCAAGACGTCGTAAGATCATCAAATCCAATTTTAAAAAAATTATTACTTTTTAATTGGTTGTTTCTATGTTTTAAGGAACTTTTTCCAGGACGGCCACGTAGCCTAAAAAGGAAGGTCGGGTCATCTGAAGTTTTTACTAAGGAACGTTTAAAAGAAATATGATGATCACCCAAGAATTTTTGGAAGCGACTACGTCTTAATTTTTAAAGAAACATCTATTTTGATATAACAAAATTTCAAATAAATATAAAATACTAATCATGTAATACAATCAAATAAAAATATCTTATTTTATTTGATTTTTCATTGAATTTAAAATATTTTTAAACCTTATTTTTACGATATTTATACAAAAATAAGCTGCACTTTAGTTTTTAAATCATGCTTCTGAAAAAAATAGTTTTTGGTCTATTATAAGTTACACTTGAATATGATGTACAGTGGATGATCAGTTAACAAACAAATTGATAACAAACACTTTTGCGAAAGATTTTTATGTTTGGATAACAAACACCTTACAGAACAAACACAAGAAGTGACGTAAAATAATGAACACTGATTGTCTTCCCTTGTCTTCAGGCAACAATTCGAAACTTTTTGAAGTGCAGGAGATGTCGACATCAACGCTCAACCCAGTATATACTGATCGAATAGTATTCCTTCAAACTTTGAAACTCTCCCTTGTAATTCCAGCCTTTTATTTTTCTGACAAAACAATTCTTTTATGTATTCGCAAGACTGTCGGGTAGGCACTCGTTAAGTTTTGCATCTGTTTTTCTTTTTGAAAGGTGAGAGTATAATAGCAAAGGTAGAGAGTGGGTAGATGTCTGATGTCTGTTGTTGCTGNGTCGATTATCCGAATCAATTGGGGACTGGGGTTGTTCGGATAACTGATATTTCAGATAACCGACTATGTATGAAAAAATAGTTTAATGTATCCCATGTTGACATTTTTCTCCATTGCGCATCGCTTCGTGTTGAATTTTCGTCGATGTTAAGCCTAACGAAGACTATTGCATCGTTAAAAATTATTTTTTTATTTTGTACAAACAAAATTAATATATTGAAAAATAAAAAAACAATAAAAAATTATACTTTAGAAGTTAATTTAGTATCAAAAACGTAAAATATTTGAGTAGCCCAAGATATAGCCAAAGATTGCAGGCCACAGCACTAGCAAAAATTTTAATTTGCCGACTGGAATTCTTTCGGATAATCGACACTCTACTGTATTTGAAATGCATTTATATAAAGTAACTAGCTGTTACCCGCGACTTCACCTGCGAGGATTTTGCAAGCAAACCCCATTTATATTCAGTATTTCAACAACCATAGTAATTGTTATATAACACCTACCGACGAGAATGATGAGAATTGCCGAGAATCAAACGAACTATTTTCAATTTGATCAATTTTCTGGAACGTTTACAATCGTTCTATAATCGAACCAATATGCAATAACAAATTCGAATTTAAAATAGTTTGAACATTTTTAAAATCGAAACAGATTAAAATGTTTATAACAATGTCTGAAATGTAATTAATTTAATACACCTAAGTACTCGATGAAGACTAAATTCTCTCCCTCTCCCCCATGGGGAAATTTCGAAAAATCCCTTCTTAGTGTGCATTCTTAGGGCATTCCCATGGCATACCCTACTAAAACGCGCATAAAAACAAAAAATCACATCTAAAATAGTACAGTAGAAGCCATTCTTCTGGTTAAGACTTAATGCTCTCCCTCTCCCCCCCGTGGGGGAATTTCAAAAAATTCTTTCTTAGTGCGTGTTTTCATGACGTACCCTAACTGTGTACCAAATTTCACCTCTAGATTCAGCGGTTTGCTCTGGGCGATGATGAATCAGTGAGTGAGCCAGTCAGGACAAGCAATTTTATATATACAGTATAGATAATGTATATAGCATGAAAAATTTTTATATTCTAATAAACTTACAAATTTTTAAATTAGGATTTAAAAAACTAATTTCACTTATTGATTTAAAAAAGCTCGTTTTCACGCGTAAAAATTCTTATAATTACACTTTTTGTCACTGAGAAGATCTTATATATTTTCAGAATGACAAATTATTAGTAATAAAATATTGTATAAGACTACATAAAAGCTAGCAGATTTATTCAATAAAAGCAAATTAAATATATTATGAGAACATTTAATGTATTAAACCATTGAAAATTCAATTAAAAGTGGAAAAAATAAATAAATAAACCTGAATTGTCCAGTTTACTGTGTTCAATATTAATAAACTTATACATCATTATAATTGATAAGTTTTAATGTACATTTCATTTAAATATATACTGTACACAATGTTATCTATCTATTCAGGCTTATGTTAATTGCCTAAGAAGAAATATTGTTTTTTTTTTCTGCAGAGTGATATATTTTATTATTATACTTCAGTAATACATTTCTTGAAACATTATACATCATAAGTCATGTAAATTGTTTACCATAGATCAATTCTCTTTACATTTTTTTTTTTTTTGTAATATCAAAGTTTTATGCCTACCAGTGGCCTAGTGGATAAAACCACTAAACACTGGTAGCTGGTCATGGGTTCAAGCCTTGCCAACAGGCACTTGGAGTTTTCTGGGTTTTTTTCACGTTGGTAACACCTTAATAGAAGCCAATTTCCCATTAAAGGCCTTCCGGGAGGCATCCCTCTTTGCAGATTTGCAGAATGTGTTACATTGCCAAATACAAATAAACCGAAGTTTTATAAAAGAAAAAAAAGTTGTGAAAAAATACTAAGAAAATTAATTTCAGTTTGAAACATTTTAACTTTCAAAATTCAAAATAGATTATTTGTGCCTGAAATATTAGTTTATTATTATCTTTTAATTTAAATAGATCTAAATTTGGTTATAGAAATTTTTAAAACCAAAATTGAAATTATTTATTTCAATATTGGATTTCTTTTGCATGAAAAGGTAAGAATCAAATGTCCTATTTAGTTCTTGTATTCTTAATAATAATAATAATAATAATAAATTTTCAATTTTCAAATTAACTTGAAAAAATTTTTTCAACAAAAATCTTTTTCAAGTTAAATTACTCCATCTGTACCAACTTTCAAAGATTAAAAGACCATGACCTTAAAAAATTTTTGTTAGGGAATACTAAACTAAAGCAAGTGTCGATTGAAAATAGCTTTTGAAAATAGTTTGTTTGATTCTCAGCAATTCTCATCATTCTCGGTGGTAGGTATTATATAACAATTACTATGGTTGTTGAAATACTGAATATAAATGGGGTTTGCTTGCAAAACCTCTGCGGGCAAAGTCGCGGGTAACAGCTAGTACAATATAAGACTAGCAGTAAAATTAAAAAGAAACTATTTTAAGATCATAAAATTTTTTATTAATATAAAATAATATACAAACATCTTGTTTCTTCTAATTCTATGTCACGACTTGGTGCATTTATCGACACTTGGCAAATAATTCCATCATCTATTTTTAATTCATACAGAAACACGTTTTGGGCTTTCGCCCCTCTTCAGTCTGTTACATCGATAGTATACGGTATCAGTCTGGCACTTTCCGTACTTTCCGTACTTCCCGCTCCCTTCCCCTCCCATCTTCTTCCGACTTGACGGCCTCCCCCGCATGCCTCGTAATTTGTAACTTCACCCCTCCTCGAGTGTTGCGTACAGCCTCGCCTGCGACTGTATAAACATTCTATTTTAATAATTGCAGCCAGTTTTTATGGATGTCAATGCTTAGGTTCTTGTTAATATTATTTTTGTCTATAGTAATTTCGTAGCTTTCCTTGAATTTTCTTTTGTACCAATTTTTTTCTTTGTGTACTATTATTGCATCATTCTTATCTATTTTGCAGTTGTGGGTCGTGCAATGTTCGTAAAAAACAGAGTTGATTCTATTATACTTCAGGTCTGCGATGTGTTCTTTTAATCTTGTTTCTAATTTTCTTTTTGTTTCACCGATGTATACTTTTGGGGGTTCGCATGTGCAAGGTATTTTATAGACGACTTCGGTAGTGCTGTATTTGTCTGGTTGTTTATTTCTGTCAGGTACAGTCTTCCGGATTCTTTTTTGCAGGTTGTTATAGGTTGGGGCTAGCTTTATATCTATTTTTTCAAAGCTTTTGTTTACTTGTTCAAAGAAGCCACGGATGTAAGGGAAGGGTATGTATCTTACGGTGTTTCTTTCGTTTTGTTTANAATGATGCAATAATAGTACACAAAGAAAAAAATTGGTACAAAAGAAAATTCAAGGAAAGCTACGAAATTACTATAGACAAAAATAATATTAACAAGAACCTAAGCATTGACATCCATAAAAACTGGCTGCAATTATTAAAATAGAATGTTTATACAGTCGCAGGCGAGGCTGTACGCAACACTCGAGGAGGGGTGAAGTTACAAATTACGAGGCATGCGGGGGAGGCCGTCAAGTCGGGAGAAGATGGGAGGGGAAGGGAGCGGGAAGTACGGAAAGTGCCAGACTGATACCGTATACTATCGATGTAACAGACTGAAGAGGGGCGAAAGCCCAAAACGTGTTTCTGTATGAATTAAAAATAGATGATGGAATTATTTGCCAAGTGTCGATAAATGCACCAAGTCGTGACATAGAATTAGAAGAAACAAGAAAAATAAGACACGGTTTCGACAAATAACTAAAACAATACAAACATCTGTTTAACGTTTTTTCAGTTGAATGTCTTTTGGGTTTAATATTCAAACTTTGTAGGATATATGCATCTTTCAATATGCTTTTCGGTTTATATTTACATAAGAAAAATTGTTTTATTGAATTTTTGAAAAATAAAAATCTTTAACAAAACAGCTCATGTGGAAAGTCAAGTTCCATTCCAAATACAATTGGTTAGAATGTTGGAATCATTTGTAGACATTTTGTAAAATCCAAGTATTAAGAAATGGAATATGCAGTTCAAATATAGCTGGTGCTGCAGAGGCATTATAGCATCATATCGTGGCCAAAAGACTGAACATGCTTTCTTGACATCACTAATAGTACAGTAGACCCCCTATAACGCTTAGATATGTTCCACGTTAATCGAAATTTACGTTGTAGGATTGATTAAATACATGAGCCAATCGCAGCCCGATAGGTGTGAACTTTACGGACTAAGGCTGTTTGAAAGATTTTCTTCCATAAAATTAACCGATTCTAGACTAATTCGACTCAACATTTCCAAAACACGTATAATTTTTTGGGAATAATCTGTATAAACTATGCTATAAACAAAAAATTATAGGATTACTTACCGAGTGTGCACCATTCGACTACGCCNAGACATAGTCGCTTTTAAAAAATTTTGGGTGATGATCATATTTCTTTTAAATGTTCCTTAGTAAAAACTTCAGACGACCTGACCTTCCTTTTTAGGCTACGTGGCCGTCCTGGAAAAAGTTTCTTAAAACATAAAACAACCAATTAAAAAGTAATAATTTTTTTAAAATTGGATTTGATGATCTTATGACGTCTTGCTTATTTCATCCTTCTCCATTCAGGAGTTTCTTTATATCTACTGGAAATTTGCGCTGTTTAATGTAGAATATCTTCTATCCTCCCTCTGGCTGTGAATTATTATTAAATTTTTAGAATTTTTGGAAGCACCTACGTCTTAATTTTTTAAAGAAAATTTTATCATCCAGTGAAAATTTAAAACTTAAAATTTAATAATAATTCGCCGCCAGAGGGAGGATAGAAGATAATCTACATTAAACAGTGCAAATTTCCAGTAGATATAAAGAAACTCCCGAACGGAGAAGGTTGAAATAAGCAAGACGTCGTAAGATCATCAAATCCAATTTTAAAAAAATTATTACTTTTTAATTGGTTGTTTCTATGTTTTAAGGAACTTTTTCCAGGACGGCCACGTAGCCTAAAAAGGAAGGTCGGGTCATCTGAAGTTTTTACTAAGGAACGTTTAAAAGAAATATGATGATCACCCAAGAATGTTTTGGAAACAACTACATCTTTATTTTTTAAAGACAAATAATAATATTTAAAATAACTTCTACGTCATATAAATCATAATATATATAACTTATTGTCATGTCCATTATAAAAAATTGACTTGACAAATAAGTAAATTTCTTTAGATATTTCATTATCAGATATAAATTTCAAATTAGTTAGAGGAAAATACAATTTTTCCTCCAACTAATTTGAAATTTAATATAATGAAAAAAATAAATGTTTTTAATGCCAAACAATTTCCAGATTGTATTAGACTACATTAAAGTTTATCATTAATAATTATGGTTTAATTAATATTTAATAACACCAGTTATGCTACTTCGAGATCCAGGTAGTGTAATTGGCAATGCATTCGTATGGCAAGTTGGGAGTTGTTGGTTTGAGGTTCACTCCAGCCTGATTTTTTATTCCAGAATCTTCTAAATTAATTATTAAAATATTCATTTAATTATAATTATTAAATCTAATAATTATAATTAAATGAAATAATTTAATTATAATTATTAAATTTATCAAGAGATGGCACTTAATGCCCATCTCTAGGCCAAATAACCGGAGAAAAATGTCAAGATGAGATAAATTAATATATTTTTTCGTACATAATCGGTTATCCGAAACATTGATCTTCCGAACAACCCCAGTCCCCAATTGATTCGGATAATCGACGCTCTACTGTATTTGAAATAAAAATTTCTAAGACTGTTAGAATATATATATCAAATAATTTGTACAAGATAAGTCTATTAATTGGCTAGTATTTATTAATGGACTTTAATTTTGCAGACTAAAGATTTTATAAAAACAGATCTTTTACCAACTTTATATTCTTCTGTAGATCAGGTATGTTAATATAAATGTGTAAATATATTCATTTTTTGTTTAGTATGAATTAGAGTGAGAGTTATAATAAATATTATAGAAAACAATAATGGAGGAATCTCCAGAGGAAGTAAAAAAGAGACAAGAAATATTACGAATGTATCATGCCTGCAAACAAGCTCTCCAAATTATTAGTGATGTATCCATGCACACGACATATCAACCTATTCCTCCCCCAGTCAACAATGATTGGCTGTCAGTTCAAGGTTCAGATAGGTAAATATATTTTAATAAGTTTACACTTGAAAACTATTGCTATGTATTAACTTGCACATTTACTAACACAGTGATAATAGAAGGAATCCCGAATATCGTCCTCCACCGGCAATCCCAGTTTCCACTCGTCCATCTACTGGTATTCCTGGATTTCGTACAGACAATGCAGCTGCAACTTCTGGATTACTTCAACAAAAATCAAATACTGCATTACCTCCACCACTTATACCTCTGTACGTATTTTATTTATAATTTTAATTCTCATCATTAGTAAAAAAAAATTCTATATTAAAATTTCAAATATATTTTTAACAGGAGACCAGTGCCTTCTATCCCACCTCGGATACCCGACAGACCACGACCCAATTGAATGATTTTAAAATTAAATTTCTATTTAATAATTTAAAATTTGCCTCACAGTATTTTATATCAGATAATAAAATTATTACTGTGATTTAGAATTTTATTTTCTTAAATAAGAATTTTAAGTGATTCTTTTTATTAATATTTATAAAAATCTTGAACTGTGTTGTCACCAAAAATTTTCTAGTCTTCCAATATTGCTATACAAATGCAATAAACGAATTTAATATTGTATACAATATTTATATTTTTCATATAATTCTAGTTTGACAGAAATAAATTGTATATGTTTGTATATACTCTTGTAGTTTCTTAAGACTAATGAAATGTTTTTGTTTTATTAAACTATGAATGTAGAAATACATGTATTTTATTATTAACTTTATTTTGAAACAAGATTTAATTGATCATACTAGTCTACAAATTGAATCTTTTATTAATTACCAGAAATAATGGTATTTCTCTAGACCAACTTTTCGTGCTGATTTACAAAACTGTTTTCAGTTTTTCTGTATACACAAAGGTTTTAAGTTATGATTATTACAAAAAAAATACACATAAATGGCAACACAGTTATATAATTTTACATTATTAAAGAGAAATGGATACACAATAAAAAATAAAATTGAAAGTAATAATTATAACCGAAAAGTACAGTACATTACACTGAATTAAGTGCCAAAATGTTGTATAGTTAATTGTCTTCTGTACTTTTTCTGTAGGCCATCACAATAGAGCATCCAACAATAATTAGTCAAGAGCAATTCATTCCAGAAACCTTGATAAAGCTTTTCCATCAACTTTATATCTTAGTGAAATCTCCTCATTACTTGTTACTGACTTCATCATTAGGAGGGGAAAAATCTAAATGTAAGTTTTGAACAACATGCAGCATCTGATTTTTTTATATGCGTCCACTAACTCCTAGAAACACTGTTCTTGTAAGTAGGAGACTTGTTGTTCCCTATGAAGTTAACAATAAAGCCATTTGAAACTTTTCCAAGCTCATTTTTTTTATCATTCACAATTTTTTCAAATTTTTCATCCTGAAATACGTCTGATCTCAGATCTGATTAAGATTTCCATCATTGCTGAGAAACTAAAGGAAGAAACTTTATTGCTGAGAAATTTGAAGCCTATTGAATTTGTTTTTCATAATGCTTTAATGAAGGTTTTGACCAAGCCAAGCTTTAAACTGGGTACCCACATGAGCAATTTTGTTGCGCCATGCCATCTTATAATCACATGATTTTCATGTGAATCAAACTATTGATATCCACTATGCATAATGTGTACACTATCTGGCAGGAAAAGGAGAATAAGTCTACGTAGTATGGATTCTGTATGATGATGTTTATGCTTTGTAAGCGTTGTTCTTGTTTTCCTTTGGAGTTGCTCAAGATCTGTGTGAGTCCAATGTATAACTCCAAAAGAGTATGTGAGTACTGGGATGACATATGTGTTTATTGCTTTAACTGTGTTCTGTGGATAGCATTTAACCTACTTTGGTATTCTTTAATTAATCTTTGCTTTATTTGTGTATGTTCTGTTAGTTTGGCCTGTTGGAATCCTAAATACTTGTATAACTTGCCCTCTTCCATGGATTCAATAACGTCTCCATTTCCAAGTGCAAAATCTTCTTTCTTCAGGATTCCTTTTTCTATGTAAAGTTTTTTGCATTTGTCTAAGCCAAACTCCATTTGTATGTTCTTAGTGTATGAGTGTGATTTGTAGGAGTTGATGAAGTTGTTTCTGTGTGGATGCATAAAGTTTTATGTCGTCCATGTACATGAGATGTGACAGCGTAAACTGTGTTGTTTTTTCGTGTCTGATACTGTAGCCATAATGTGTGTTGTTTAACATGTTGGATAATGGGTTTCAGGGCTAGACAGAACCAGGAGGAGGACTCAAGGAATCTCCTTGAAAAATTCCTCGCCTAATGAATATTTTGTTTGTTTGTATAGAAGTGTTACTAACCCTGAGATGCAGTGTTGTTCTCCAGTGCTGCATAGTGTTTTCGAAGAATGCAATGAGTGATGGATGTATTTTGTACATGTGTAGAATATGTAGCAGTCAACTGTGTGGAACACTGTCAAATGTTTTTCTGTAGTCTATATATGCCATGTGTATGTTTCTGTGTTGTTTGTGTGCTTGCCCTAGAATGACTGAATCTATGAGTAACTGTTCTTTGCCTCCCCTGTGATTTCTATGGCAACCTTTTTGTTCTTCCGTAAGAATGTCGTGTTTGTATATTTTGTTTGTGATACAGGATGTCAATAATTTGTAGAGTGTTGGAAGACATGTAATTGGTCTGTATTGTGTTGGGGTCTGTGGTGGTGGTGTTTTTAGGTTTCATGTAGGTGATGCCTTGAGTAAGAAATTTTGGCATGCCTTGTGGGTTGATGATGATGTGTGTTAGATGTTTAGCTAGTTCCTGGTGCAGTGATGTAAACTTTTTGTACCAGAAATTGTGAATGTTATCTACACCAGGTGTCTTCCAGTTGTGTGTTCTGTTAACAGCGTAGCAGACGTCGTGTACGTTCATTTCAGCACAGGGCATAGTTGGTATGTTATGCAAGTTTCTGTTCTCCTCGATCCAGCCTGCATCAGCATTATGTGTAACAGCATTGGACCAAAGAGAAGACCAATAAGTTGTGAGTTCTTCTGTTGGTGTGTCACTGTGCTGTGTATCAGTGTTTGTTTTGATACTGATTTGTCTGTAGGAAAGTTTTTCGTTGTTTGTGAATAATTTATTTTGTTGTTTTTGTAGTTTACATGTTTTGTATCGTTTGAGTCTACGTGCTTTGGCTGCGAGTTTCTGTTTTAGTGTATCGATGTATTCTGTAATGTGTGTGTTGTGATGTTTGTGTTTTGTGTGTGTTTTGATTTTCTTGAAAATGTTTTTGAGTTGTTTCTTTAATTTGGGTGTTATGTTGTTTTTAGTGTATTGTGTCAGCCTGCCTAATTGCTGTCTAATGTTATTTATTTGTGTTTCTATTCTTCTCTGCCAGGCAGGCTTGTGATAGAATTGTGTTGTGTGTGTGTGTCTGCGATTGTATTTTCAGTCCATGGTGTATTACTATTGTGACTGCCCCAGCATAAACTAATGTATGAATGTCTGAGAGTGTAGAAATTGAATGTAGTTTGGTAGTAAGTGAGTGTTTACATAATTTAATGTTTTTCCTACTTCCTTTGGCATGTTGATTTTTGGTATTCGTGGTCTTTCTGTCGGATCTGTACCAGTATATTTAGTGAGTGTTTCCTGAAATTTCCTGAAAGTGAGAGCGTATTAACTAATTCTATGTCTACATTATCAGTGATGGATGAGCGTGTGCCTGTAGTATCATTAGTTGTAGTTGTTGTATGTGTGCTGTAATCAGTGCTTGTTCCTGGATTATCTTGACAGGTTACGTGATCTTCATTAATAATGTTAAATGTTTCTGTCTATTGATGTATTTGATCAGCAACCTGTAGTTTGATAAGTTCAAGTGTTGTTTGTGGGATAAGGTTGTTGTGTATAATTGTTCTTTTTTGATCAACAACCTTTTGTTCGGTGAGGTGAGGATATTGTTGCATGAATCTGTGGTGTAGTTGTTGTCCATACGCTGTCATGTTTGTTTTGTGATTGTGTAGTAAGTACGGATGATAAACTCATTCATTTCTATTGTCCATTTCATCCATTGACATGATTTTCCAGCCTTTGTGGTCTGTGGATGCATTGCCACAGAAACACCAAGGCTAGGTTGTTTCCTCACATCTGTTGAGGGCATTGCAGTAGCTACACTTGGGCCGGCGCTGCTTCCACCACCGGTAACCAAGGGAGACTGCGGCCTATTTTTCGAACGTGAGCCTCTGACCAACAGATGCACACCTTGTTAACCTGGGCGACATCCGAGCCAGTATCACACTTTGATCTGGTTACTACCACGATAATTGTCTCCACAGAATGTGGGCGTGCTCTTAGCTTCATTTCTCCTCAGACTTACTAGCATGGGTGTCATTACCAGGAGCTTGTGCTCCAGCCTGCATTGCTTTATGGTTCAGTAAAATTACTGGGCTCTCTCACCACGACCAGGTGGTGACCAAGGGAGAGTTATTATTATTATTATTATTAACCCATCTCGATTATATATATATATATAGATTATATTCTGTTACCTATAAATTTTACTAGCTTTGCAACTCATTTCTATCATTATTTTATCTACCCTATTTGAATAGCACGATAAGCATCATCATATTTAATCATTTTCAATGACCCCCTCCGGTCTTTGCAAAGGACTGTGAATTTTTATTTAATATTTTTATTACAGTATGGAACAGAAAAGGAAAAAATTGTCTGGAAGTCAATATAAAAAGAAATGCTTAAAGAAAAGGGAAGAAGGAAAAAAGCTAAGTTATGTTACGAAAAAATTCTTAGTACAAAAGTCCTGTTTAGTCCACATCAACAGCGTCTGCTTTGGATTTGGCAAATGAAAACTCAGTGTCGTCCCAATCACTTCCAGAAGAAGTTGTTGAAGAGAGCCAAAAATATACCACCACCAGAAGTTCATCAAGAGCCGAGTAGCGGTAGCAGTGGCAGCGGGCGGATATTAAACGAAATTCCTTCCGATCCTGCATTATGGAATGCTTTCTGCGTGTCATCCGAAACTTGTCAAATACTGGCGGAGAGGGGGTCCACATCAAATTAAAGAATTCGAGTTTCCTATTAATAAAGGAAGGTGTAGATTTTCACCCTTGCATTATTTGAAAGTGTTGAGCAATGGTGAAGTCGTCGAGAGAAGTTGGCTCGGTTGATTTACTCTGTTACAAATGATGCTGTTTTTCTCTATTGTAGCATTTTATTTGATAATTTGTCCGCTATTAGTGACTGGCCCGAGGAAAGCTATTCTGATTGGGGAAATCTTCCGAGAGCCCTCACAATGCACGAAAAGTCTATAAATCAGAAATGCTTTTATAGCCTGGAAACAATTGGACATTCGATTAAAACAGAAAAAAACGATTGATGCCGAATATCAACGAATTATAGATATAGAAATTCAGCAATGGAAAGGAGTTCTAAAAAGAATTATGTTAATAATTAGAGTATTGGCCTCGCAATGTTTAGCTTTTCGTGGAACAACCAAACATTTGTTTCAGCCTAATAACAGAAACTTCCTAAAGTTGGTAGAATTGCTTTCTGAGTTTGATCCAGTTATGGAAGAATATATCAGGAGAGTTCAACGCCAGTCTGATAAATGGTCTGTGACTTATCTAAGCAATAATATACATTCATTTTTTTTCATTTCATTTAGATTTATTAATATAACAAGGTTACATGACCTGATGTCGCAAGTGCATCAGGTATTATAATACAATAT